TATCATTGAAATCGGACAAAGATATCTATATGAGTTATTTAGATAAATGATAGAGTTAGTTCTTAGGTCCATTAAAGACTTAAACATGGCCTTCTACTTCAAATATTAACTTTTTGATTGAATTATATTCATAGAAAACCTCTGAAGGATATTTTTCTTTAGAAGACCCAACATAAAATTAGTTCTAGCCATAAAAACTAGCCAACTAGTTTTATATTTGTAATGCAGCTATCTTAGAAATTCGTTGTTCCGTCAAAGGATTCAAAAGGTCTAATATTTAAAAGGGAAGTCAAATAAGATCTCACAGAAATTACGTCCCTAAGGTATTTTAATCCTAATGGACATATTGATGGACCTTTAACAATAAAAGTTTCCTGAAATGTTCATTGTGAACTTATCATGGAAAGACTGCCACAAAAGATATCTTAAAGTGCTATAAAGTGTTAATATCTTCGATTCAAATACAACTTCTGAAAGGCTTTGCCAGTTGACAATTTTGAACTCTAAATTTTTGATAAAAGACCTTTTTAAGGCTTTTTAAGACAGCTTGAAGATTTATACATCTACTGTTCAAAGAAGTCTTTCCATCTTATGACCCAAATTTGGGGATTCTTTCTAACATTTTGGTTAGCAAGACTTAATGTGGCATAATTTACTTTTAATGCCGAGAAAATCCTATATCTTACCGATAAGTGAGTTCCAAATCCACACGTCTTATACTTCATACTTTCCTCCATGCCATCACTGTTCTGTTCTTAAATCAACAGGATGTTGCAGATGAAAATACAATGAACTTCTTAACACAAATGGAAGATTGCCAGGCAATAATATATAAATCGTATTGACGATACATATGTAGATGTGTGAGTGTGTCATTGAGCAGCTTACCTATTTATTTGAAAGAAAAAAAATATTGCAAATTATTTGCAATTTAAATTTTCTTTATTCCTTTACCATGTTACGTACAGATGTGACAAGAAACAAATGATTGTTTAAATTGTAAGTGGAGATTATTTCATATACAAGTTGTTTAAGTTAAGCTACTTTAAAATTTTGAGTTCAAATGCTATTCGAAATGGAAAAAGATACTTATTTGAATTTAAGCTGGAAATCTTAAATGTTCTTCAAATATTTAAAAAAAAAGGATAAGTAAATAACTTAATGTGTTTGCGTTTTTAAATATATATTATCTCACACCGAACGGAACTAATATTGATTATGGCTATGGCTAACAAAATATTTGTGTGTCAAATTGAGCAAAGACCAAGAAGTCGTTCTGGACTGTGATGGAAATATATGCTGGTTCTCTGCATGAAGGTGTTTTGTCTTCAATTCGAAGACTTCTTAACTTCCAGCAAAACTTTCTGGCGTTATGATGAAAATTTCTCATTTTTTTAAATAATACCATCCGGCTTTCTACAGTAGCAGGATCGAGTCTTCTATAGAAAGAACTCCTGGGCTTATACAAAACAAGTTCTTTGTCTTCCGTTTAAACATGTCTAGTTTGACTTCTACGGAAAACGTATACAATCTCAGTTGGAAACAATTCTAGTTTTTTTATAAAAAACGTATCTCGTTTTATAAAAAAGGAATATCTCTTTCAAAAATGACCTTTATCGGTACACCATATCGTATAGCCCCTATATAACAGTATCCCCCCGATATTCGGTATTTGATTTTAGCCAAATTTTTCAATGAAATTGTATGAAAATCCACAGAAGGAGTTCTTTCTGAGAACTTTACCCCTTGGAGGAGTGTTGTCTATATAGGTTCACGTTATCTTATATCCCCCATAAAACTGGTCCTCCCTATATTCAGTATTTTGAGGATTTTAGATACATTCTTCAATGGAATTGTCTAAAAATCCATACTAAAATTCTTCCGAAGAGGAAGAAAAATGTCTATATACAAGGTGAGATAAAAAAATTTTTTACACTTTTTTAACTTTATTGAATGAAAGCAAAAAATTTCTGAAATAGCATCAAATTTTAGAATAAGTTTAGATTTGTTCGAATTGGTCACCTTTGGCACGAATTATGGCCTTTAAGCGGTAAATGAAGCTGTCACACGCTGCCTGAATATTGCTCTGCGGTACTTTGGCCAATTCCCGATGAAGCGCTTGCTTGAGTTGATCGACACGTTGATATTTTTTAGTGCCAACCTTGATTTCCAAAATACTCCAGACACAATAGTCCGGAGATTTTGGTGGCCATTGTGCGCTGGAAATGAAGCAAGGAACCTAATTTTGTAACCTTTCAGGGTGGCGCGTGCTGAGTCCTGTTGGTATGTCCAAGTTCTGCGGCCTAAATGTTTGCGTGTCCAAGGCTTTAATACACCCTCCAGAGTATTTTCGCAATAACATCCGGTATTTATTCTGATGCCACGGTTGATTGATACGAGGGAAGAGCGACCATCGGCTGTTATGGCGGCCTACACCATTAGCATGGCCGGCGCACGAGTTCTGGTGGCCAATCGAAGGTGGACATTTTAAGCGGACCTCTTTGGTAAGTAAACACGATCATTCTGTTTGTTTACAAATTGCTGCACCACGAATGTTATCTCATCGGAGAAAATCAAATTCGACAGTTCACCAGTTTCGGCTAAGCGAACAGCTCTTTAGCTCTTTTGAGTCTATTTTATTTCTGTTGGGGTTTTAGTTCTTGCACTTTTTGGAATTTCAATGGCTTTACCCCGAGCTCATTTTTTCATGTTTGCCGAGTGGAATATTGAGATATATTCAGCTCACTTGCCATTTCCCCCTGCAACGGGGGTTTTGATCAAATCGCTTCTTTACTTTTCAAACCATTTCTGCTGAAGTTGCTGTTTTCTTCCCCCCACTTCCTTAAAGTCGGGCTACACTAGCAGTATAACGGTAACGTGCGATGTTACGAGATACAAAAGATTTATTCACATTTAAATGTTGGAGTGCTCCAACCATAGCCACTTGTGGTTTTCCATCCAAATATGAAAAAATCATACTATCACGTTTGAATTCCATCACGAATAACTCTTTTTCTGGGAAATTCTCACCAAAACAATATAATAAAAGTCGACAGAAGTATTCCATTTTCACACTCCTTCTAATAAAATATTGGTTTGGTCAAAATTACAAGAAAATCGAACAGTTATATACAATTTTATGCGAAATCAAAAAATCCATATTCTAATCAGGTTTCTGGTTGAAAGAAATATTTAGATATGGCAAGTTGTAAGGAAGGGCTGACTTGTTTCGGTGTTAGTTTCGCGTTTTATGAGTTTTATATTCAAAATTTTGACCCTTGTGCAGGGGAGGTACCAGATGGAGTGGACCGATATATTCCATCTTCACAACAGATCTTGTGTTAGTAGACATAATGTGTGAAATATTAAGAGAACTGGATGCTTATTTCGGATTTTATGATCGTTTTGATTATTCAAAGCATGGACCCTTTGGAAGGGAGGTACTTGATGGAGAGGACCGGTATTGTCCATTTTCGCACCTGACTTTGCAATTATGCAAATTTTAGGATTCGGATTATTCTTCCCCTTTTTTGTACATTATTGTTTTTTTGTTCTTTTGTTTTGAAAATTGTGACCTTTTGTGGGTGAGGTAAAAGAAGACTGGACTGATATTGCCCATCTCCCAACTCGGTCTAAGTTTGGTAATAATAAACGAAGTTCTCATCTTCAACTTCTCACCTTCAAGAAATATAATTCTGGTGGTTAGTGGAATAATTTCAAGGTTTTAATAGAAAGGGGTTTTTAGGTCTTCAACAGAAAAGCCTCCAACTGAACTTATTTCATTTCGGAATTTTTAAAATTTTGGGTCTCTACTGAAATTACAAGCCGTAATTATATGCGCCAGAAATGTTATCTAAACACCAACCGAATCGACCCAGCTCATCATTTAAGGGACTTGTTAACATAAAGTCGTGCGTGCATGTCAGTTTCTCTTTTTTTTTTTTGTTGAAAGTGAAAAGTAATGAGGGAAATTAAGTGTTTTTCGTATTTGCTGCTGTTGCGTGTCTTAATATGTGTGAAAATTTGTGCGTATTTGTACACTTTGAAGTGTGTGCACGTGTGTATGTGTGTAAGGAAGGACATGAGTAATTTACATTTATCCCATTCCATTTGATCCTAATGATATATGATGGTATATTGTGGCTAAAGGCTCATTTAAAACATTCTGTTAGATCAATTAACAGAACATCGACATGGGGCTAAGGATGTACTTGTCGGCATGTAGTCTGGTATATATTGATAAGATTAATGTTTTTACACATCGAGAATATAAGGTGTTCCACATTTTTTAATACGGCAATTCTTTAAACAGTTTTTAGTACGGGGTGTTAACATTGTTTATAACAACAGGTGAGAAACACATCAATGGAAATTGATAAACGGGAAGATACTCAATGATGATATTGTTAGATGGTGTGAGATTTAGTGGCTCCTGAGGTATTATAGCCTTTTTTGTAATTTTCCGTTAAAATCACATATACATGAAAATTTACGTTTAGAGTCAAATACAGAAGGCAGAGTCAGATACATACACGCAGAGAAGAAAATATGTTTGTTCCAACAATATTCGAAGAGTAAAATATGTATTGTAAAGGTATTGTTGGATTCATTATGTAGTATTGTCAGTCCAACTATTGTTATTGTCGCACTGGTCTATAATAGTTTTGGTCGCAAGTAACAATACTTATTTTTGCAAATCACAATAGTTTAGATCAAAATGAAAAATGAATATTGTAAAATTTATAATAGTTTTTGTCAAAAGTCACAATATTTATTTTTGCCATTAGCCATAGTTTTGGTCAAAATTGAGAATGGCTATTATAAAAACTTACAATAGTTTTGGTCGGAAGTAACAATATTTATTTTTGCACTTTTGGCATAATGGAAAATGAATATTGTTAGAATTTATAACACCCATAGGTTGGAATGATAGAAAATAAAATTATAAAAGATTTTATACCATACCTTTTTAACGTGCATTATTTTAATAAAATATAATATGTCATTTCGAAAAAGAATTTATTTCATATTCTTATATTCTTAAAAATTACAAATAATACTGAACAAATTATAATTAGTTTAAAAAATAAGAGTCTTCTTTGGATGTGCAAATATATGCCGTGTAACTTGATTCTAATGACAATACATTAACCGAAAGGAATTCATTTTCATATTCTATTCTGAAAGCATGGTAGTGAGCATCGAACCCATGCGTTAAAAGCCTTTGAATACACAATAAAAATATATCGTTTATGCTACAAATGTGAACAATTAACCCAAACAACGGTATGTTATCATCATATTCTCCAATGTGCACAACCATGCCCGGCTTAAAGAGGGTTTGTTTGAATTGGAGATATGATATAGTACGCAATGGTATCTCTGAAATAATGTCGTATTTAGAGAAGGTTTCGCCAGGCAATTCCGAAACGTTGCCGATTTTTATTTTATCTTCCAAAATATCTGAATAATTGATTAAGAAATCAAATAAAATAATTTGATACTTAGTGTATATTGTTTTTAGAAGGTTAATTTTATTATTCGAGCTGTTACATATCTTTTTTAACTTCTTGTGAACAGACTCAAACCTCATTGAAGAAATATGTTTCAAAGGTCCAATCTTGTTCATAATGTTGGAATAATGTATTAAGTTATGAAATTTTGGTTGCAACGTGGATTCTGAAATTTTCATGTATAGAGCATTGTGGTCACACACTAGCTGACGAAAATGCTCAGGAACGCCAGTTTGAAATGAGTCCGACTCACAGGATATAAAAACAATCTGTCTCAATAGCAAATACAATGTCCATTCTTCGCAATCGACCACTAAGTCTCCTATCATTAACCCTAGACACTTTACGAAAACCAACATCTCAGAAGAAGATAATTGAAGCTTAAGCTTCTTGTGAAAATCAAGACTTAAAATGGGTGGTTTATTACTACAATAAATTGGACCATAATTGAAGGTTAGCAATCTATAGTTAAGCTGGTCTAACGTAAAAAATTCATAGTGCTTTATGAATCGATTTAATATGAATTTAAGATCATAGTGACAAACGCCCTCTAATAAGTCATGCATAACGTCAACGCTATAATTTCTTGTGACATGAAATTGTTTTAAATTATTCCAAATTGAATTTTCCTTTATTCCGGTAATCTTAAAATCATTAACTTCTACATCGGAATTGTAATTTTGAGGATTTCTTAACATAGAAATGTTTTCATAAACATCAATTTTATTTATTTCGCGGTGCTGCTTACACAAACGACAATAAAAATTGCTAGAGAAAGTTTCTGAAAATCCTAGAATTGTATTTAAGCCAAGATTGTCCCCCAAAATAAGAGAAGGAATTATCTTTACCTTTTTTATACGATTACCGTCAAATGAGATTTCATCGTGTATATCTATTCCCAATTCCTGTAAGGAATTAAGTTCATTAATGAATGATTCAAAAACGAGTTCATTACCAAATTTCTTTCTATCTTCCGAAAATAGAAGCATTCCAACGAAAATGTGGGAAAGTTTGGATTGGAGATATTCGGGAATACAAGGAAATTTAACATAAACACCGCCAAGTTTTTGAAAACCGGCATGGGACCCAAGTGCGTTATCTGGTTCAAACTCATCAAAATATACAAACATGGGTATACATAATATACTCAGGTCATCATTCTGATTTAATTCATGCCATAATGTACTTTGAATAAAATTATATATAACATTCTGATCGCGTAATTTTAAGTCACTTATGTACGAAACAACCTCAGCCAAAAATTTTGTTTTATTGAAAAGTAAGGAGAAAAAAGTGTACAAAGGTAGCATCGCAATTGAATAATCAATACTTTTCAGTGCAATTTGTCCCCCTGACGTTAAAACTTCTTGAATTTCGCGATGTATTGAGAGAAAATTTGCCTCGACAAAGAAATCGGTTTTCCTTAATTCACTTAAAAGTTTATATTCCGATTTTATGATGCTATTATCAACTAATTCGTCGAGAAACCTAATTATGCCAGGATCCACAAAGGTATCAATTAATTTATTTCTTAAAATGTTTAAATATTTAAGGAAGCCATTCGCCACACTTTTAATAATACTTAAACTTTTGTTTCGAGGTACAGATTCATTGCAATATGCTTTTACTATTTGTTTCAGTAAATCAATTTTAATATTTGAGGCTGAGTCTATGTGAATATCAATATTTTCACTTTCCGAAATTGTATTTGATTGGGTATAGTTTTCAGCAGTCGATATACAAGGTATTGCTTGTTCCGACGTAATTTGTACCATACTATCTGAAGAGTCATTTACAATGGTACTTCTACAATGTGTTTGCAAATGCCATTGATATGAATCCAATCGGTCATATCTGCGATTACAGTTATAAAAACAACAACTTATTGACGATATATTTTCATGGTGCATTCTTATATGTCGAATGAGAGCTTCAACGCTGTTAAATAATTCAGTGGAACAAAAACATCTAATCCTATTCATTTTGTAGTTAAAAAAGTTAATAATTTTTGGCGAAAGTAGTAATTGTAATATACAAATAAATAATACAATGTAATAACGTAAAAATCTAATTCATGTCAATAACAAAACGTTTTTGTATTTCCGAAAATTATTCTACGTTTTACGGAGTTCATTAATTAACGTACTTACAGCAGGAATTGTAATATCATATGGAGTGTTGATGTCGTAAATAATCTTTTGTATGAATGTCCATACGTGTAAACATGCAACGGGATATCTAACATTCATAGCCATATAAGAATAAAAGCACGCGTCAATTGCCTTCAAAGGATTTTCAAATTTCATTCTAGTTCCACAGATGTCCACATATGCAATTGATATTGGCTTTGTAGTATCGCCGACAAAGTAAATTTTGGGTTGTGTTTCCGTTTTAATCCGTTTTATTCGATTCCGTGTTTCGTCATCAGCAACAAGAATATTCTATGTTAAAAAATAAACTGTTTAACACATAATACTTTTATACTTGAGCCTTAGTGCCGGTCCACACTAGGCCAAGTTTTCCACTACTACAGTTTCAAGAATTATTCTAGTATAGAACACGATCTAAGAACACATATTTCAATAAAATTTCTTTCATGAAATTACTCTAGTGGGGTAGGGACTAAGGCTCCACGCAAAACTTAATAAATTAAAAAAAAAAAAAAAATAATATACCTTAAGTACATTAGTTAACATTTTATATGTATTTAACTGTGGATACTGACCTTGCAGTAATAAATGAATGACTCCAAGGATTCTAATTTAGTCCTTTTCCTGTAGTGTGGCAATATGTAAGGAATAAGCATCAAAGAAAGCAAAACTTTGCTATCTAGAAATTACAATTTTGATTTGCTTTTTATATTTAACACAGTTATCACAATACATACCTTCGTCCTGTGCTCTGTTGATGTACGCTAAGATATTTACTACCGTGTTGTCCTTAAGTTGTTCGGCTTTTTGAATTACTTTTTCGTAGTAAAATTTCCATTCGTAAAACTCTTTTGATGATGGATACAGAATTTTGAAATCAATATGTAGCTATTTTGGAAATGAAAACAAAGTCAATTGAAATTAATTTAACATAAATTAAAACACACATACCAAGTCATAAAAGTTTTCGTTCAGATAAATGTTGTACTTCTTTATGTAGTCAACCGTAGATAAATTATTATTTTGAAGCTCCTGTTGTCTATACAAATGGGATTTTATCCAAAGGTCTTTTCTCTTACTCCAATCTAAGCCTACGGTTCGAAGAAGCTCTAATTCTTCAGGCGTTACATCCGTTTCTTGAATTAGAGGAACGGGATCCTGATTCACTGTATAGAAAAAACATATATATTAGATTATATTGAAATATACAGTTTGTCAAGTAATTGTTTTCGAATAAAGAAAACGAACAATATTTGGATAAATTTATAACAAAATTCAGATAATTTTAATAAAAACGTAGTTGATCTACTTGCAACGTTTAAAATAAATTTAAAATTTACCTACGTAAACAAGAATAATAACGTTTACTGTTCATTTTCTTGGTTCAAAAATAAGTATTGAAGAACCTGTATATGTAAAACTGGGTATAATTACATTTTTTTTTTAAATTTGTACGCCTATTTATAAGTCCTTGTGTGCTTAATTTGGTTCTTTTATTATTATAGGAGTCAAATAATTTTCCTTTTGCCAAGTGTCCTTTAGTGAAAGGTACGTAGTAAGTTTCAATTACTTCTGATGGGAACACTTCTATAATAGATTGTGAAAGTTTTAAAAAATCCTCTTTGTAAATACTGTGAAATAGAAACAAAAATCAGTGAAGGTAACTCAATAGTAAATTAATGTTATTTTACCGTCTATTTGGGTTTTCTCTCAAGATATGTGATATAATAATTTTTGCAATATTTGTTCTGTCTTTGTTTTCCAGGGTATTATATTTCATTAAATGTCGTATTTCAGCCAATTTTTTAATTTCCTATACCAAAAGAAAATCAAAAGGTTTTCAAGATTCCTAAGTTTTTCAATATACCTCTGTTGTAGGAATACTAGAATAAACATGTCTGTCAACTGAACTATTATGACTTAAGCATAAATCGTCATCATTAAGCGTTTGGTAAATTTCGGACGATGTATTTTGAAAAACGGGTTTTTGTGACCTATTTGACCCGGATAATTGCGATTCGATGTCTGCGGTCGAATTTGATGCTGAATTATCATCTAAAAATGAAAATGTGTGAGAAATATTGATCAATAATCATTAATTACTGAAATACTTACCACTTAATTTTATGTCCAAAACAAAATCGGTTGAAGATATGTATTGTTGAACCAAAGCGGTGAATATTCTTGGAATTATTAGAAAATTCTTATTATAAATTTCCACTTCAGCTGCCGGTGGTATATTATAAGTTTTCTTAACTACAAATGTAAACAATAATATTTTATTTAAAATTAATTTTAACATCAATTTGAAATTCAGCATTCGCAAGGCCATCAGCTTATTTATTTTAATTGTAATTATCCACTTGATGTTATTTTTACTTCAGCTGATGTTAAGTAAAACAGATCTACAATTATTTGGCCACAATAAAAACAAACCAAATCTATTTCTCTTGAAGCTTTCTTTTCATTTTCTCTTTTGTAACGTCTGCTTCAATCAACTTTTTTTGTTTCAGCTATTCAAACTCACACACAGATTCTAAAGCAGTGGTTTCTTTGATTTAAACTTTGCCGGTATTGCAAAACATATTGGGTTGAATTTAAAATCTAATTTACACGCAGGGTTTTCGACGCAGAAAGCTGGTGGTTTTCTGTTTCTAACAAATTTGATGACACTACAAGAAAAGGGAAGAGAGAGTAACGTTGTTTGTTTGTTTTGTTCTTTATTTCAACAACCAACCACCACGCTTCACAAAAAAAAAAAACACGCGAGCAAAACAAAACAAAAAATGCACAATGCCTACTATGCTGTCTTTGTTGTTAAATTTTTCACATACAATACACCAACAGTTGTAAAATATTTAAAGAATTCACTTTATTTAATGATGTCAAACTTTTATGATTTGAAATACTTTTTTGTTTAAACTTTTCACATTTGTATATTACCTTCATTTGCAAACAATTTATAATCATTAATTCCATCAAATAACACTGCAACAAATTCATTTTTGTTTTGGAATGTTGTTTTTAAAAGCTTGAAGTCACTCATGTCTATTTTTGTTTTGAACCACCTTCTTCAAATCCCGAACAAAAACTGATTTCGGAGAAGACACAAAAAACTTCACCGGCTGTTGAACACAAAAAAAGAGAGCACGACAAAGAATGCAACTTCAAATAGAGTAAATACTGAGCGAGTTAACGGGAGGGAGATAAGAAAATAAAAAATGTGTATCTCCTGAAAAAAAAGCAATTTCAAACACCAAAAAACCTGTTATTAATGACAATATTTTTTGTAAACATTCTAAATTATGACGAGTCTAACTATCGGTATTGTTAACGATTTTTACAATACTTCGGAATTAGGAAAGTTGTTTTTGTTTTTTATGTTTGGAGCAAAGATTGTGTTTTTGGATTTGCAATTGCAATGTTTGTAGAAAACAAATGAATTTCTGGAACAAAAACATACATGATTGTTCCAACAAAAGCGACAAATATTTTTTCTCTGCGTGTACGCTCTGCTGGCGATAAGAAAAAAAAGATTAAAATCAAAACAAGTAAGCAAAGGCTACAATCGTGCCGTGAGGACCATGGGATACCCTACAACGAATTTTAATGATGGCATAAAAATGCTTGTCAGAAACTCTCACCTCAAGCAAAATTCCCTGTCGATTGGCCGTCAATTGTGACCGGAGGAGCGACTGCAAAATCAAAATCAAAATATTTTACACTCTTCTCTTTGAAAATTCCGCGATGATTTTTAATTTTGACATTTAGTTCAACTGCATGGTCATGGCATTTTTCAGTTATTGTTCCATTAAAACTTTTCCCTAAATACAACATTCCCCAAATATTTTGCGATCATCTTCAAAATAATAGGCTTTTAATCAGACCATAACCCCAACTTCGTGAAGCCAAGGCCATTATTGCTACCTGTTGCGTGATTACAAATTAACATGGGTGGACAAGTAGACGGATCGACTAAGCTCGGTGATATAGAATTCCATACGTAACATCTTATTTATCAAACTTATAATACCCCCAACGCATGCTTTTATAGGGTATAACAAGTAAGAAAAGGTCAAAAGTCGAGCGAGGCCGACTCTATAAAACCCTACACCACTATGAAAACTACACCACTATTTATTAGATCTCCCGTAACGGAAAAAGTTTATTATTGACTTTCACCAAAAATTGGAAGTACTTGCCTCTGGGCTGAATTCCGCCGGAAATGACAAAATTCAGTCAATTTGGGCTGATATAAGCCATTTGGTGTACCATTAACCTGCAATCGGAATAACGATATAAATGTGAGATATATCCAAATAAGAACCCATCTTGATAAAATTTGGGAGAGGCATTTTTGGGCTATATATGATATTTTGTACCAAAGATCATTGTTATGGAGTGCTTATCAGGCATGTGAGGGTCCGTCATATATTTTTGTTCACAAAAATATATGACGTACTGACATGCAAAAATCTACTCAGTTTGTAGTTCTATGAAGATCCTCAAGAGTAACTATGGGTCTATATCGCTTCTTTCTACCTGTTACAAACAGATGCACAAAGACATAATACCCTTACCACTATGTGGTGTAGGGTATAAAAACCTGAGATGACAATATTCAAAGATGGTCATTTTAAAACGCTATTTTTCCTCATTAAAAATTGACCGAAAAATGTTAGTCCGTTCATGTTAATTATACCCTACAACACTTTGTGTTGGGGGTATTATAAGTTTGATTGGGCCAAAAATTATGTAACACCTCGAAATATTGATTTCCCACATAGGAAAGTATATATGGATCTTCCTATCTCACCGAGCTGAGTCGATCTAGCTATGTATGTCCGTCCGTCCGTCTGTCCGTCTGTCCATGTTAATTTGTAATCACTCTACAGGTCGCAATTATGGCCAGATCTTCACGAAATTTAGAATGGAGGTGGGGATAAGGTCAGAATAGAACCCTATTTCTTTTGGAGATGATCGTACAATATTTAGGGGTCGAAATGGACCAAAAAATCCTGATTTTACAGTTGCTCTACAGGTCGCAATTATGGACCAATCGACGCTGAAATTAGCATGGGGCTAAAGCTTCAGGCTGGGCAGAAGCCTTCCGATTTTGATGGTCATCGGGTAATATTTACTGAGTGAAAAACACTATAACATTTGTATTAAATAATAGTCAAATTTCCATTACATCGCGAATATTTTTAGTCCCGGCGAAATCATAAATAGGCGAACAGGTCAATTCTGACCGTTACGTAGATGCCGATAGTAAATATATCTGATATATATAGCGAAATATATACAATGTGTATATACAAAGGAAAGGAATATTAGATGGAATGCTTATATCTCAAGAATGGCTGGACCGATTTTGACAAATTTTGTCAATTCAGAATGCCCTCTTGACATAAAAGTATAAAATCTAAAAAAATCGCATAAAAATAAGTCAAAAATGATCTTAATATAGATTTTTTTTAGTATTTTATGACATTTTTTTATTTTTTCATATTTTTTATCGCATGCGATTTTTTCAGTTTGACTTATAATATTAAGGTGTACATTTTGTAATATTTTTCCACCTTACAACACAGGTTTGGGATATTATATACAGATTGCAATTATCGTCCGATCCTCACGAAAAGGGTAGGGGTATTCTCTTTAAAGATGTCCGCAAAATATTTAGGGGTTGAAATGGACCAACAACTAAAAATGTTCGTGATTTTGCAGCCGTTATAAAGGTCATAAATAGAAACCAAGGGACACGAAATCTCGCATGAAGTTAGAGTTTAGGACAGCGGGTAGAATGGACCACTACTTTTGTCTAAAAAATACCAACATTACTTACAGGCGATAGCCGAAATACACAAAATGCGAACTTCTGCCTTTTTTTTACTGATTTCGTTGACGAATATAGACAAATATCGTAGACAAGAAGATCGTATAGAAGAGTCTAAATTTGGAGATATGATCGCAAAACACGACGAAGTGCGTAAATATTGGGCAAAGGTCCCTGGTCAAAATGCTAAGGGTAATACCTGGGCAGTGCTAAATTTGGAGATATGATCGCAAAACACGACGGAGTGCGTAAATATTGGGCAAAGGTCCCTGGTCAAAATGCTAAGGGTAATACCTGGGCAGTGCTCCGTCACATAATTTAAAAAGCGAAATCTTCCAAAATGGATTTGGACATAAGGGGCTTCTAACATATTATAGTGTTGTAGGGTATCACATGGTCGGCCCCGCACGACTATAGCCTTTGCTTACTTGTTTGTAATGACACTACAGTTCGCTACAGGCCCGATTCTAAGGAAATTGAAAAAGAAAGGTGGGTTTACTGTCAGAAAAAAACATTGTTTTTTTGGAGATGATCGCATAAGTCAAGAACAGCTGGACTAATTTTCATCAATTCGGAATGGTCTCCTGCCAGAAAATCTAAGAAAATCGTGGAAAATTATGCCAAAAAAAATAGAGAATATTTTTGGTTAAAAATTTTGTCATATATTTTTATCTCATCCGAATGTTTGACTTACAATTTTGAATTGTACATTTTCAAAAGTTTTTCTTCACTGAAATTTTGCATAGAGGTAGGGTTGGGGTCAGAATTAAAGCCTATAGTTATATAAATTAATATTTAGGGGTTCAAGTGGACCAAAAAAGATAAAAGTCTCCTGATTTTGCTGTTGCTCTACAGTTCACAATTGAAACCCAATAACCACGGAATTTAGCATGAGGACAGAGTTAAGGACAGGAAAGAAGTCGAGCATTTTTTGATGACAATTGGAATCTATTCAGCTTCAAAATGGATCACAACTTTTTTAAATAAGGGTAACATCTGTTTAGGGCTTTATGACATTATTTAAAAAATGAAATTTTCCAAAACATATTTTGGACATAGGGGGGTTTCCAACATATTGTAGTGTTGTAGGGTATCACTTTATCAGCCTCGCACGATTATAGCATTTGCTTAGTTGTTTCAACTTTTTTTAGTACGAATTTCCAAAAATCGCTCCCTAGCGTCCGCCTACCCACTAAGAGTTACCTACATGATGCATTTCAAGATTATAGACCAAGCCGATTCATCTGGCCGTAGATCATTTTTGTAAATTTTCAGAACTATGACTGTTTGCCACACAGGATGAACAACATGATATTATGAGAAAAAAGTAGTAGTGAGTAAACCTGTGGCAGTGGGTTGTCTTGTAGGTCCAAGTTTTCTTATTGGCCCTTTATAATGGTACCTTGCACTATTCGGCAATTTTATGATTTTTGTCATATTTTTTTAGGAATTGTCCGGAACTGGGCATTTGAAGTTTCCAACTCCTGACACTTTCTCCAAGAGAAAATATTGGTCTACATTTTCAAGAGGTTCCATAAAAAAGCACATCCCTGTATTCGAAACTCGTAATAGATATTAATTCTTTGTCTATGTAGGGTCATGTTTCTATTTTCGTATGTAAAAAAATCTCAAACATTATTTTTATTATTAATTTCCTATCCCCCCAAATATGATCCTCCCACTCACGTGTTTTTTTTTCTTATCCACCCCTAAAATAGTTTTTTAATTAATTTACCAAAAAATTAAAATACCACCAAATAACCCATAAACCACAACCTTTGTTATCATATTTTTGGTCGAAATTAATAAATGTTTTGGTAAAGTTTTTTTTTTCCTTTTTTATTAAATTGGCAGACATTCTCTATACAACCACAATGCCGAGCCAATCTTCAAAGTAAATATTTAAAATGTTATCCCCCAACCTCGCCCCCCCCCTCTCAATCATCATTAAAATCAGCAACTGGTAAATGTGGTAACATCAACATTTACTGAAAACTTTTGATTTTTAAACTTAATTACAATCTCTATCCCAAAGCCAAATTTCTGTTGAACTTTTGCCTAGGCTCCTGTGGAAGCGGTGGAAGTTGGGATCATTTCTATTTTCATAGGTTGTGTGTACAATGTGGGCGAAGTGTGTGTGGATGTGTTTGTGTTTTTGTTTGAGTAATGTGTGTAGCCATGCGTATGGGCAGGAGGTGTGTGTTGCTTTTTTCGGAATATAAATGAAGAATTAAAATTATCTGATTCAAATGTTGAATAAGGTAGATTGTTTGTAGTGAATAAAAAGAAATGTGTTTCCATGTTGGACCTTTTCGGAAACCTCAAATGTTGCCTCTACAAGGGCTACACAAAACACATTCAGACCTTTGACATTTGTGCTTTTTGTGAGATGTGATGACATTTTTTTATTATTTTTTTCCTTTTTTACACTTTACATTCGTTTGAAAGAAATGCTATTTGGTAAGGTTAAACGTGATTTAATTAAATTAATTTAAATCTCTGGTTTATGGCTAAAAAAAGAGAGAACAATTCTAAAGAGTTTTCAAAAAATGGAAACTTGTTGGCAAATTAACTTTTAATCTCAAATTACAATTTAATGTCCTTGACAGGAACTAAAAACTTGA